GGGGGGGGGGCGGGGGGCTCCCTGAGCCAGGGTTCCACCCAGCTACAGGAAATCTTTGCGGAGGCCTCAGGTGTGTATAAGCCCACAGGTCAGGGGGCAGTAGGGGCTAATGGAAAAGCGATGAGTCTGCACCAACTAGCCAGTGACCTTGACCAAGCCACTTCTCTATCAGTCTCCTCTGGAGTAAGAGGAGTGGTTCCACTCTAAGATCCCCAACATCCTTTCCTGTGCTTCTATTGTCCCATCCCCTATGTGGCACCAGTTAGAATTCCGACAGTGATGTCCAAGGGACACCTTCAAATGTGTTCCATTTCCTTCCAAACCCACTTGGCAGTCCTTTGGCCCTGCTCCCAGGAAGGGAGGGTTTGGAGGAGCTTCCACGGCTCTGTTTGTGTTCACTGTGCAGCAGCTATCCACCCAGAGCTGCTCATCCCACCTCTCCTCCTCTGCCCCCAAAGCGGTCGAGGGTGTGCGCTGGGGCAACCACTGGTTTACAGCGTGTCTGTCAGCTCAGAGATGGTTTCCAGCCCATCCTGTGGGTATGCTCAGGGTGGACAAATAAACGTTTCAGAGAAGCAGTATGAATTAAATCATTTCAGCAACAAAACCCGCCCACATGCGCCTTCATAAATGATTCCTCTTAATTCCATGCTGACGAAGAGTCAGTAAACTGCATCTATTATAAAACAACCCTTACTCCTTTCATGCCCTGACACTGAAGAATCACAATATTTTCCCACTCTATTGTACTGATGCCTTTGCAGAAGTAATAGCAATAGCTATTTCCCTGGAAAGATCCATGGCCAGGGCGCTTTCCAAGAGATTTTCTTTGAATGTTCTTTGTGTCCTGGTGCACCGGGGGACACCGCCAGCCTGCCTGCATCTGGGGGACGCCGGGCTACTCAGAGTAATGCAATACTGTTTTTAAAGCCCACACACCGAATGTACCCCTTCGCCCCTACAATGAAGTATTCCCAAACATTTGATATACCACACTGATAACAGCCACGCACAAATACAATTCCCGTGCCTGCATTTTGCAGAGAAAATAAAGGCACATTCGGAGAAGCCACAGGACCCGCCTCGAGCTCCGTGAATAACAGGAGAGCTTCGCAGACCTTGAGCAAGACTGGCCAGAATCCGTTCGCTTTTTCGTTTTATTTTCGCCGTGCCTTTTATTTGCTGGGCCCAAGAAGAATGGAAAAGCATCTCAAGAAAGGAGGGCTAGGGAGCGGTGGAGAATAAAAGAGGGTGGGCGGGGAAAGCAGGATTTTTGAAAATAACAGCAATAAAAAAAGGCAGGGTCGCGGCCCGAGGGTCTCGGCGGTGCTTACCTGGGGCGCACGAGGCCGGCCGGGCCAGCAGCAGCAGCCAGAGGCCGGGGAG